TTAACATGCATACTCCACGCCTACCTACCTTGCCGCAGAGGAACTGATGATGCTGAAGATGCAGGAAGCCAACGCCCTCGATTTGCTGGTGACATGGGGGGGATGTTGAAAACGATGCTGATGATGTTGACGGACTAGCGTAAAATACGTGCATTTCGCGAGAACATGCTGTAAATTACAGCATTTTAGTAGCCAGGACGGAAAAGAAACAAAAATCCAAAAATAAAACAAAAAGCAATCCCAAATTAAATCTCGACCCCTTTCAAAAATCCGGCGCCCTCGGCATGATCTTGAGGCCTGGTGGTCGGATTTGCCGCTGCTGCGGCAGCAGCTTCATTTCTTCACCTGAACCTGGTGCTTTGGCAAGGCGCTTGGCGTGGAGGACAAATCTTGGTGATCTCAAAGGTCATTCAGACAGCCGAGAATTCTCTTGAAGGTTGGTTTCTTTGGATTGGGGCCCAAAAGCTTGGCGGCCATCTCTGGGATCGCTTTTGAATGCTTCAAGCTGGCTGGCAAGAAGCCTGTTTCGTTCTCATATTGGTCACACTTCCTTTTTCATTTCTGTGAACATTTTGGCATCAAAGGCACGGACCGACCAAGACAGTCAACCGAGAACAGTCCTGCAAGCGTTGTTCCTTTTTTTCTAGCCTCAGACTAACATGGAAGCTCCCATAGCTCCCTCTTCATGGTTTCGGGCTTTGTTGGAAGGCTTAGCAGGTTGAAGGTTTCCAGGGGCTGGGTCGTTTGGAAGGATGGATTGCCAGGACACAACTTCTTTGGAAACGAATGCAGGCGTTTGCCTTCACTGGCCAGGCAATGCCATCAGGCACGGAGATCGCACTCAGCGAGTGAGGCAAGGCTTCGAGGATCTCCAAAATGAAGAAGGGTGACAAATAGACCACTGCGGCGCAACTGCGCACCAGAGCCCGTTGAAGCTCATAGCTCACTTGTCAAGATGCGCCCCGCGCAGGTTGGGAGCCGGCGATGCCTTTCGAGAAGCCATGTTTGGATGGAGGCGGAACGTGGTTTTCCATGGGCTGCAAGTCCATTTCGTTGCCAGGCAGAACTTTTTAGAGATGGCGGAGCTGGAGGAGCCGTGCGATGGGAAAGGCAGTCGATTCACGAGCGCTGGACATGTCTTGCTTTGATGGCTTTGCGTTGAGCGCTAGGAGCAATGGAAGCCGCTGCTGCAGCGCATGAACAGGAACATGCTGTTGGTGGAGAATGGCTTGGAGAGCGCCCAAGACAAGGCATTAAGTTAAATGTGCCATGTCAGAAAACGGCAATGTTTGCTTGTTTCTGTTCGTAACCTGGAGGTGGATGTGGTCTCACACTCTCCGGCAGCTCCGGCATTGTGGCTGTTTTTGATCTTGCTGGGACTTACATTTGTCCTCCTGTCCGTCATCGGCGTCTATTGCATCGTTACGCTTACCCTATCTGCCAGGCTGGCATTCAAAGTCAGAATCATTAGAAGTATGGATGGTCTGCCTCCATGTATGGTTTCTAGCATCGCACTTGCTGACAAAGTGTGCTTGTGAGCTAGAAGTTCAAAAGCTGTAACATCGTAGCCAGACCCTGTCCAGGCAGCAAAAGGAAGAGGTGAAGCAGCCAGCATTGAGGGCAGTTCTTCATGCTCTAGCAATGGACACGCCCTCTCCGGACAGAACGCTTGACGCGGAGGCTTTCTGTCACACTTTGCTCCCTGACCACTTTGTAGCAGAAAGTAGGGCTTTGGACCAGGTCACGCGGCGGACGCTGAACTTCCTGCGTCGTATTGCTCCGCCTGTGAGCCTGGGGGAAAGCGTGGCAGCTGCTATGCAGCGAGAGCAAGAGCAACGAGCAGCCGCCTTGCGAGGGCTGCCCATCTCAAGAGCGCACCAAGTTTCTTGAATGGGTGTGTGTTTCTTTACGGGTTCTTTACGGTGCCCAAGGTTTAGTTAAGGCACTTTGTGACGCGCGCGAAGCTAAAAACATGTTTGGCCAACGGCAGATCGTCAGTGCAGCTAATGTTACAACAGGAGTTTCAGTACTTGTGAACCATACCCCGAAGCATACCCTTGAATCATACCTTGAATCGTACCCGCGAATCATCCCCTCCATCCAAGCTTCCCGGTCAGAACACCTTATTTTTGACACAGACCTAATCTTTGGGCCTGCCTTTGGCAAATAAGGTACTCACAGGCCCACTTCCTTCGTCGGAAGATCGATACGCCCTGGGATGTGGAAGCATCCTCAACTGGGCCGGCTTCAGAGGTTTCGATTGCCATTGAGGCCGGATCATGCAGAGCCATGGCATCTTTGCTAGTGCGCACAGATATTGCGAATACGTTGCCGATGCCGCTCTCTTGCGCAACTTAGCATTGTTTAATATGCTTAGCAACAAACCGCAGTCATCTCCTTGTTTTCTTCCCAGCCTGGGTGTTGACGGGGTGACGCCATGTTGGCGATACAGATGCAAGGCCATGGATGTGCGGATCAGACAGAGGATGCTGAATGCTGCACCACGTGGCCAGCCAAAGTTTTCAGCCTCTCGTTTCCTGGATGAGCTGTACAAGGTGCCAGTGCAAATCGTTGGACGGCAGCGTTGTGCTTCCATTTCTGTCAGGAATGCGACAACTTGCCCGAGACGGCGCAGAGCGCTGGGTCAATTCTCATGAAGGTGCCTGGACATGACATTGACATGATGTGATGGGACACTTCCCACAACTTCTCGAGGCGTTCCCTTCACCCGAAGACCAGCGCGCCTTAATGATAGCACTTGGCATTGCTGTCAAAGCTTTGCCTTGGAATCGATGGCGGTTCAAGGAGTGCATCAATTGCTGCGTGACTTCCAACATTCCTCCGCGCAGCCCAGGAGGATACCCTCTACAGCTTAGTACGATTAGGGGCAGATTCGCGAGCGATCGTGGCAGCTTGGCCGCAGCTGTTGGGAGCATGTGGCGCGAAGCCGTGCTATACTTTTCGAACCGCAAGTTTTGTGGGGGTGGTGCAGATACAGGCTCTGCTTTTGCACGATCTTGACGAGTGCCTCAGACTGCCCTGGTCAGTCTTGGCGGAGGTGGGGCAGCATGTGTACATAGATATGCAGCACTGAACCTCGACGTGCGTCAGGTATTTGCCCAATGCCCTGAACTCGGGGAAGAAGTCGTCAACCTCATTGATGAGAAGAAAAGGCGGGACCGCGTCCAAGTTTGAATCGCTGGCCAGTGGAGCAAAAACTAGGCTGGAACAGCTGGCGCTGATGTTATACTTGCGCGCCTTGTCCGAGGACAATTTGCTGATATGGCTTGGCAGTTGCGTGGCAGATGACTCTGTGTGTGTGTGTGTGGGTTTGTTTTTAGTGCTGCTTGCTAGGACAACACCACCGACCACGGACAAGCGCAGCAGTGCATGGTTTGTATCATCGTGTTTAGAGTACGCGAAAGAAAGGAGAGAGAGGGGGAGAGAGAAGGAGAGAAACAAGAGAGAGAGAGAGAGAGCGAGGAGACGTTATTTGAGTGAGTATGGTTTTGTTTATGTCGCTGTGGCATGTGAGTCAAGCCAGGTCCGTCTAGCAGCCTCGCAACTTACTCGCCTGTTGTACTTGCTTGGGTCCAAGGACTGGCTTTGCTCCAAAACAAACAACAGAGCAACACATATGTGCGGGAACAGGATTATAGAGCTGCGCTGGTGGAAATTGCCGAGGCAGGGCAGGCAAGACTTAGCGCATGGGCCGCATTTGACGGAGAGCAGGTGGAGCAAATGCTTCGGAATCTCTCCGCGGCACTGGCTTCGAGATTTGGACTTCCTGATGAGGGACGTGCCCTTGCACGCTGCGCCCGTACCCAAGAGATGGACTTCTGGTGCTTCTGGTGATTGCTCCGGTTGTTGGGGCACGCCAAGGCACTGGATTTGCATGTGCCCCTGGCACACAGCCTTGGCTTTGATGCATTGGCCAGACTCTTAACTGGTCCAACTCTACGGATATATTGTGAAAAGTGTTGAGGCCGACACTGGCAGTGCTGATGAGCGGATAACACCGTCTGTGGAGAATCGGGCACTGCGACTCTACTTCCCGGAGGACTACAACATGATTGAGGTGCTGGCCTTGAATCACTTTGCAATAGTTTTGTGCTTAGTGACAGGCATGGATGCGGGAGGAGGACGAATTGCTTCATCGAACCCTCCAACGGTGCCTGCGTGAAGTTCGAAAAGCTCTCGATGCTGACCGTGATGTCAGAGCATTGGCGACGTGCAAGGCACGAGATGAAGAACTAGAGACGCAAGGAACACAGCAATTATCGCGAAGTCGGCCGCCTTTGCTTGCCTTTGTTTGCTTGGACTTTGCCACTGCTTTGCTATTTGGGGGTTGATCAATATTCCTAGCCCCCAAATGAGGAAGGGTAACTTTTTCAATTTAGGGCATATCATCTCTTGGTTTTCCATCCAGTCATCCCAAGTCCATGGGACCTTTTGACCCAATGGGAATGCAGGGAAGTGCCAGGTGAGAGGCCGGGTGAAGAGCGTGTACAGCATCGTCAAGAAGCTGCTACGACAGCGCGGAGTGTCCCGTGAGGATCTCAAAGCTCAGGCGCTCAAGGCCCCTGGGACAGCGATTTGTCTCAGGGTGTGTCTTTTGTTTTTTGAGGAACCTACTTGTTGGTTGATTCTAAAGCGAAACCAAAGGAAAACCACTATTTTCGGGGTCCAATAAAAGTACTGCATTCCCATATGGGTATGGGTCAAAAAGGTCCAAGCACCAGGAATTGGACCGCAGGTTTTAGTCCACGTTTCCATGAACCAGGGTTCCAGCTGGGGTACCAATTGTTGACTGACAGCTATATTGGTCCGAGTCGGGTGATTTCACAAGCTTGTTGTTCCTTCGCGATTGTCAGTTGATTGTGGATTTTGCACAAACGAACCCTGAATCGGGATGCATTAGACATCCGCTCGACTTTGTGCTGCGAATTCTTTGCTGTGCCATGCCTTAAGCCTGGCATTCTTCGAGCATCTTTCATGTACTTAGACGATTTCGAGCGGTGCTGCGAAAGGACCTGCTTGCCTTGGAAGTCGTGGTGGACCCCAATCCATTTGCAGAGGCCATTCTGACAGCTGAGAGACTTGGTGAATCTATTCCTGAGCTTGCCAGTGCATCTTGGTCAGCGGCAGGTTCCGAAAAATCCGGAGTGGTTGGCTGAAGAATGGCGTGAACGAGCCGCATGCTTCGCTGTTCTGGATACGTTGCAAAGATATGCGAAAGCAACGAAAGGGTGGTCCATTTTGCCAGGGTCAACCAAGGACTGCCCGCACGTCTCTCTGTGCAGATGTATTGCAACATTTGTCCGTCTTAGCGCGAATCTCGAGACACAATGTGAAGGATTACATCACAAAGTCCAAAAAGAGCGGATACAGAGCGTTGCACATCACTTTGTGTACCAACGCCCATGTCTCGGTGTACCAGGCGATTTGGATGTGCCATGCACATGGCCCAGGTTACAACCCAAATGCCGAAAGCATCCAGCCGCGCCATCGCCCAACAGAGGGCTTTCGACAGCATGGCCTGCAAGTTGGAGGCTCGGGCTTTGTGTTCCGTCCTTGACCTTTGCCTATGAATTTTAACGAGCCCCCTGAAAAGTGGTGGGCATAAATCCCCTGAGTGATGTCCACCAGGGTTCCGTACCCAAAATTGAATCCTGGTAAGTGGTAACATGGACTAAAACCTGTCCCCTGGTGCGTTGATTTTGTCGCAGGTTCACGTCTTCTCTAGCTCCATGAAGCAGAAGGAGCGCAAGGGACTGGCATCTCATCACCTCTACAAGGCCGGAGTTTTTGTTCTTCTTTTTCCTTCCTTTTTTTTTCTTTCTCGACAATTTGTGGTGCATCTCAGTTGTTTTGCAAAGGCTCTTGAACTGGGACCAGAAGAAGTTTTTGCTTCTCTGGGTGGCCGAGCTGTCTGAGCCCCAATGCAGAATTCAGCAAAGGCCAGCAGGCCTGCCTGAGGCGGATTCCATTGCTCCTTCCGAGCTGCGACGTGCCGTGTTCCCCCTCGAAAGCATGGGCCTGTTCGGAGAGGCAGCTTGGGACATTTCAGAGCTGAAGCTGAATGAAGAGGCTCTCAAATTTTTTACTTTGTGCGGTTTGGAGGCTTTCAGTGCCGACCGCACAGACCGAGAGTTCGAAGAGCTTTGCTCCAGCTGTGAGCGAAGCAAGGACCTGTTGATTGCAAAGTTTTCAGTTGCCAGATTTCACTTGCAGGACGGGCGCCTTACCTTCGCCGATGTGCAGAAGGCGCAGCACCTGGTGTCGAAGCGAGTGGAGGAGACGTTGACCACTCAGTCGGCTTGCCGTTTCTGCTGTGTCTTTGGAGGACTTCCGGCGTGCACTTGAACAGCGCAATGCCAAGTGGTGGGTCTTCCCTGCCTGTTTGATCCCTCGGATTGGCGAAATTGCCGCGCTTCTCCGCATCGACATCTTCAGCTGGAGGTGCACGGCGTTCAAACCGTGGGGCTGTGGCAGAGAGCTGCTTCCTGGGACTGGGCGAAGTCCACGCCTTGGATTCGGCGACCCGCGAAGGCTTGCAAAAGCCTTGGAGCCCAGGTACGCGGCAAAACTGGATCCCCACCAGAAGGCGCTGAGCTCGCCCGCGAGAAAGAAGCAGAGAAGCACGGTGTGCTTGGCTTCCAGGTGGCAATGATTCGAAAAGCATTGCATATGACGAAGGAGGCCCATGCTGGGCAGGCCCTTCGCACAATTTCACTTCTTACAAGTTCTTGGCATGACGTGCAATTCTCATTAGATCTGCTGTGTTGCAAGCAATTGTGTGGATTTGGTGAGGTGCGTCGATCCGGAGACCCGTACTGGACGCATCCCCTTGCCGTGGCAGATATCCTGGACAGAGTCTCAGACTGGGGGGCACCACTGGACTTGGGGTTAGATGTTAAAGTTGCAAGTCGCTAGACTGTACATTCCATTAAGTGCAGAGCAAACCGTATTCGGAAGAGGGTCAACTAGGTAGACTACAAGTTGCGTATACATCCTGCCCGAGCTAGGCCCGCACACTCTTGCCTCCACTTAGCACGCCGATTGCGGAGCCACGGTATGACAGCCCGCAGGCGTTGGAACAGGCCAGGTTGATGAGCCTGGTCGTGAATCGCACATTCCTTTGATTTCATTTCGTGCAGGACGCGCAACAACTTTGGCCACGCATTGCGGAAGGTCCCGATGACATTTTTGCAATGTGCCTCAGCAGCAGTCCACGTGGCACACACTGGGCATTCTGGGCATTTGCAGGTACATGGCCGCTCTCCTGCACGACACGGTTGAGGACTGGACTTGATTACAATTTCTGTGAGTTGCATGCGTTGCAGGATACCAGCATGACCATCAGCCAGATTGAGGAGAACTGTGTTTGTATTGGGACTTGTTTTCTGAATTCGGTTTGTTTCTGTTGCGGAAACAGGAATGCTGTATCAATTCAAATCAGGACGCTTTTGGTCCGGTGGTGGCATCATTGGTTGATGG